GTTGTGATGGGCTGAAAACACATCATTTGTAAGAGTTTGGTTTGTTAAGTGCACGCAGCTGTGACACCTGTTTGTGATGAGTTTGATCCCTTTAAAATCTTGGTGCAGTTTTGGAGGACCAGAGCTCTGTACCTGTGGGCTCCTGAGGGAGGTGTGGTGTTGGAGAGGACACCCTTTGAACAGTTTGTGCCTTTGGAGCCTCTGTGAAGAGCAGGTGTAACGGGTGTGTGTTCTCTGGTTTTTTGCAGTATGCTCTCCTGGCAGTGATGGGAGCCTATGTGCTGCTGAAACGGGAGTCCTGAAACCAGGCAGCTTTCCAAGGACAAAGCTGAATGTACAGGGGAAAAAACTAATATATATTTCAGATGGTTTCGTTTCTGTAAACAGTTCCAAAGCTGTGCAAGCTTTTGTCTTGTCTAAATAAAGTAGGACTAATGAGTGAAGCTGTTGGCTGTTGGTTAATTATGAAATGGCATATTTCCTGCCTTCAACAGACACTGCTCTCAGTCAGCCTGGCCCTGGGCTGGAAGACACTGTCATGTTCTGAAGCAGCCACGGGCTCTCCCTGGTGTGCCCAGTCCTTTTCTCTTGCATGGTCCTGCATCTGAACCCACTTTCTCCATCCTTTTTGTTTGGGGCTTTTTCCTTGATTGTTTTTAATCTGTCAGTGCCCTCTTTTCTCCACCCCCCCCACTGGATTTTTCAGTACCCTTGAGGACGTGGCATCTGGGTCAGAGCAGGTGGTGAGTGGCAGGGGTTTGGTCAGACTAAGGAAGGTTAGCTAGATGTGGTGACAAAAACAGCCAAGGGAGGGGCTTTCACTCCCACTGGGAACTGAGCAATGGGGACTTGGAGCTCTTCCCCTGAATTTCAAACCTTCTTCGTGGAGCAGGGACAGAAACCCTGATGGCCTGATTTCTAGAGGCCTGTTATTTAGGGACTGTGCAAGTTTCTAGAATTCAGGCTGTTGACCATTATGCCTTTTGTGCTCCAGGGTGTTAAACAAACCCAACCAAAAGGTTTTATGGGGCTTTAATAGCACTTGTAAATGACTGAATGAATAGCACAGTAGTACACTCCAGGGGGATTGGCAGGAAGGGTAAACCATAACTCCTGTGCCAGTTTGGAGAACAATTATTCTCTCCTATCATGTAACACCTGAGTAGTGTTAAATAAATAAAATTAAAATAAAATTGATTTTTCACTTAAAAATCTACCTGAAACTGTTGTTTTGTGAAATTCTCTATTTTTCTCTTCTCTTCAGTTGTCAGTGTTGTACCTTCAACAAAGCAGGACTTGTTTTCCTCCCTGGCTTTGTTTTTGTAGCTTTGATAAGGAACAGCGTGATGCTCTTTTCCTCTGGAGTTTTGTTTCTTCTGTAATCCCTTATCTCTACAAAAATACTCTATTATACAATAATGGCCCCTTTTCTGTTGTAACAGCTCATGCTCAGCAGACAACTGCTGAATTTTTTCAAGTAATATTACTTCTTTTGTATCCCACTAAGCAGTTTTCATGTCCAACTGTATTATAAAAATTATTTTTTTTGTGTCAAATTGTGTAGAAATAAAATTGAGTATAGTAAATGGCATGTCAGAATAATGTAGGTATCCTTAATGCAGTCTTCCTGGAAGTGTATCATCACAGTTAAGAAAAAATAATGTAATTTTTGGGACAGTGAATGTATAGTAAGATTTCTTTTTTCCCCTGGTATTGCTGAAATAGGAATTTATTGCGTCCACCTGCCCCAGTGCGAGCACAGTCAGCTCTGACTGGGAGAGGGGCAAATGAAGCACAGGAGTCCAGGACAGGCCCCCTGTGCCAGGGGAGGGTCAGACTGCACCTGGGGGAGCATTTCCTTCCTGGGAGGGTGGTCAGACTGGAACAGGCTCCCTGCAGAGGAGGCTGATGCCCTGGCCAGTGTTCCAGGGGCGTTTGGACAATGCCCTGGAACTTTTGGTCAGCCTGGGAGGGGCTCAGGCAGTGGGGCTGATGGTCACTCTAGGCTGTTCTGCTCCACAGGCATGTCCATAAGCACTTCCCATTTTAATTCTCCAGTTATTGAACCCCTCCACCACAGAAACTGTACAACCCAGACTGGGCTGGCTGATGCAGCACTGGCACACATTAAATATGCTCCGAGCAGCCCCTTTGGTTCAGCTTCAACTGCCTGGGGCTTCCCAGAATGCAGCACAAACAGTATCGACTGTCTTACACTGGGCCTTATTAAATAAATGTTTATTATTTCATATTATTCAGCCCCTGTAAAGTTGTGGAGCTCTTCTCTGAAAAATGTCTTCGGTTCCTCAGGGAACTGTTGCTGCAGCGAGTTGATTTTCGGGTTGTTTGCAGAACGCCTGCCCTGGGTGCGGGTTGGAAGGGCTGGAGATTAGTCTATTCAGCATCTCCAACATTTACAGAGTATTCCTCAGCGATTGAGCCCTGTTATTACGTGGCTGACACGCTCAGACCAGTGTTTGTTCTGTCCATATATCCTGGCTGTGTCTGACTCCAGCATCGCTACAAAGGAGGCGATGAAGGGCACACCATTTTTCTTTTAGCCCTTTTCATTTCCATAGAATCTGCTTTGCTGATAGAACAATGATAAGTTGTCTGAAATGTAAAGGAAGCAAATTAAAGTGCTGTTGTGGTAATAGCATTTAAACACCATTAGTGTTTTCCTGCCTTGGAGCACAACAGCTCGCTTTGCTGTGGGATGTATGAAAAGCAGAAAGGTATTTCAAAATGGAGAGAGCTGTTTCTTGATGTTCAAACACAAATTTGTGTTATCAGGCTTCTTTTTTAAGAAAGATTGTCTCAAATGAGTGAATCAGTCCCAGCTGATAACATCCTTTTATTGTACCTGAATCCTTTTCTGTTGCAGAGTGTCCAGAATACTATTTCTCTGTCTTATCAAATTATTATTTTTCTGAAAAGATTAATAAAAATAATAATTAGAATAAATCCATATTATGCTTTTTTATCCTTATGAATGAGTAAGTAAAGAAATGCTGAATCAGAGAGTGGGCTGGATCCCCAGCTGGGCTGAGGGAGAGGTACCCAGTCCAAGGAGAAAGCACGTTCCTTGGGCACATCCCTGCTGTCCTGGCTGTCCAGACGTGACTGCCCAGCACCCAGATAACCTGATGATCACAGACCACAGCCTTTGAGGGGTCCAAACCACGGAGCCTTGACAGCCTCTACTAATGAAAGGAGCTCAAAGCAGTGCAAAATGAGAATGAATGTGAAGGCATAGCCTGTAGCACATGAAATGTATGAAGGCACATAAACAACATGTGAGGAAGGTTTATTTGTTTGTATAGTGTTTGCAGTAAAAGAGACTTGGCACTGCTGGGCAATAAGGAACTGAGTAAGAATTCATGTTTGCTTGGGTTTGGTTTGGGTTTCTGAAAATGGACAGTCTCCTGAATTTTTGGATTTCCTGCCTTGAATTGCACCAAACAATTAGAACTTCCCATGGACAGCAATATTTTATTTGATCAGCTGTCACTCAGCACAGAGCACATGTCTGTAGCTGTACTGCACAGCAAAACTCCTGATTGAGGCATGAGAATACTATTGTAAATTAAGCAGGAATGCATAATTAATAACCAAAATAAAAGAATGAATCACATTAATCAGTAAAAGAAGATGCAATAAACTGTGACTAAACAAGGGAACAAATTAGCTCATACAAGAGGATACACAATTGACTTCAAAAGGGATTGTACTAGAGTTTGCCCGGAAATTATGTTAATTCCCATCCATGGGAGCTGCCGTTGGGTGTAGTTCAGCTCCAGCCATGTGGGGTTAGCCAGAGGATCTGGCAGGTTCCTTACAGGCAGCTCTGTTCACTGTGTATCCCAGCTCCTGGCATAGTTCTCCAGAGAGCAAAATCATCACATAAACTGCGCCCATTCCACATGACTCCATCCTGTCCCTGTTGTTCTCCTGAGGGGCAAACAGCACATCAGGATTTGATATCCCATCACTACTCACCCACCTTCACTCCAGTGGAACCACTGACGTGCCTGAGGCCGAGTGTGTATTTAAGTGTTCAACTTTATGGCTCTTACAGGGATATACTGTCTCCTTCCATGATTCATCTATCCTTTCTCTGCACTGCCTCTTCAGGATGGAAACCTTTTCACCCATTAACTACTACAAGGTTGGCCATCTCCAGGTGCCTCAGGGTGCTGGAAAGTTTACAGGTCCCTGTCCAAGGAAAGCAGAAAGCCTTGCAAGCCTGTGTCCACCTTACTGTCACTCGTGACAGGAAATTCACCTGAGACTGGGAACTAAAATAAACTTTCGGCACAAGATTTTCTGTTTGGGCAGTGAGACACTTTGCACCAAGTGCAGGCGAGCCGAGGCCCACACGGGGCGGAGGGTGACCCCGCCGCGGTCCCGCGCCCGCTGTCCCGCGCCCGGTTGTCCCGCGCCCGTACGGCAGCCCCCGGCGTCCCCCGTTTCGCGCCCCGGTGGGGTCCCGCTGGCGGCCGCACACCGGGTCCCGCGTGCCGTGGTGGCCACGTCCCGCCGCCCCGAGGTGCCCCGGGCCGCCCCCGATCCCCGACGACCGAAGCGGGGGCACCGACCCGCCCGCGTCCGTGTCCGAGCGCCGGGCGAGGAAGCCCCGGGGCAGCGCCCGTCCGCTGTCCTGCGCCGGGCTGGGGCCGGGGCCGGGCCGCCGGCTTCGCACCCCCCTCGGGAGCGGGCGGGCCGCGGAGCGGCCGGGGCGGGCCGGGCGGGCGGAGGGCCGGGGCTGCCGCGGCCCCGCTGAGGAGGCCAGTCAGCGCGGGAGCTCCGCCTCGCGCCCCGTCCCGGCGACCGTATAAATGGGCTGGCAGCCGGGCCGGCAGCGCCGCGGCCCGCGACGGAGCCGCCCAGCCGGCGCGAGGGGGGGCACCACCGGCCAGCAGCAGCACCGGCCATCCCAGCGCGACCGGCGGCCACCAGATAGTCACCCCGGCAGCACCCCCGCCGGCGCCCAGGGCAGGATGGGGGCGGCCGCGCGGCGGCCCGGGGCGCTCCCGCTGCTGCGGCTGGCCGCTGCTGGCGGCGCAGGGCGGAGCGGCGCCCCTGCAGCCCGGCGGGACCCCCGCGCTCACCAAGATCTACCCCCGCGGCAGCCACTGGGCTGTGGGTAAGTCCGGTGGCACTCCTAGGAAGGCGCTGGAACGCAGAGTTCCCGCGGCCGGTGTCCAGGTAGGGTAAGTCTAAAACCTACAGCTTCTCAGTCCGCTTCTTATTCCAGCAAATATTGCCAAGTGCTTCTCCGTAGCCCCGAGCAAAGTGCTTGGTTGTCGCTGCCCCGTTCTCGGCGACGTTTTCTCTGACAAGGCAGCACAGGAGACAGAAGAAATTATTTGTGTGCGACACTGCGATAAAATCTGCAGTCCCAGTAGTGCTTCAATTTTGACATCTTATAGCTCCTGCCCTTCCCTTCCATCAATCAGTAGCAAAGTCCAGCCGATATTTGAACAATCAAATCTTTACCCGTTTTGGTTAATTTTGTGCTACTGTCATTGTTGTTACAGGACATTTAATGGGAAAAAAGAGCACTGGAGATTTTCCTTATGGTTTTGAAGAAGAAAACAAAACACCATTTTCAGCAGTACCTGACAATGCCAAGCAGCTGGAAGACTATCTGCAGTGGGAAGAAATCTCCAAATATTTGCTACGGCTGCTGGAAAGGAACGAAAATAAAAGCGCTCACTTTTTAAAAGGAGGGCTTCCCTGGTACACCAGGAACACCTGGGAGACAGATGACAATAGCAGCTGGAAAGATGTAAGTAAGATAACACCTGCAAAGACACTCCCTGTGTTCAATTTTTGTTTTACAGTAACATATCAGCTTCCTCTAACTTGAGGATTGTCCGGAAAAGCAGCAGAAATGCATTTCATGCACTAGACATTCAGTACAGTAAGACTTTGCTCTTGATTACAGATTGCCACTCGCAGATTTTATTTTGGATGAATTAATTTGTTATTGGGCAAGCATTAAACAGATTTTAGTGTCTGGGTTCCCTTCAAGCTGCTTGGTTGAAGCGTTCTTTTCTCCATGCTGAGGTGACCACATCAGCACCATTCTGTGCTACCCAGCAAAGCCAAGCTGGTGTGACAAACAGATGTGAGGGCAGGAGGAAGGCAGAGGTGCTGCCATCCCGCTGTCTCGCTCCGTCGCTGTTCGGGATGTTGTTCCTGCCTTGGGGGGGAACGGCCAGTCCGTGGGTAAAGCCACCGGCCCGCAGAGTTCCCTCTGTTCCCACCTTTGTCCTTGTCTCATTTGCCTTTCCCCAGCTGATGGTGCTGGCTACTACTGCGGTTATTTGTGGTCTTGCTAAATCAGTCTGTGGCTACTGGTGAGCTGTAATATGTGCCTGGGACCCGCCTCCTCATCCCTCGAGTTAATGTTCTTATTAGCACTATTTTACAAGACAACAAGGCAGTAGAACAGATTTACCCCTGTTCTCTTGGAATATCCTATAAAACACATTGTGAAGAATAACAGTGAAGTTTTACAGAAAGTAGTTGGGGTCTAATGTAAATCACAGAATTTATGAGAAGACTCCTTTCTTTCTAATGCCTCAGGCACAGACATAATGATAGAGCTGCAGAATTCTTTTGGGTGACACTGAAATAGAATAAAAAGATTAATACGCCCTCTTGAAGATATTAATGTGAAGATTCTTTCCTTCTCATATTCTACTGCAATATGATGTGATTAATATTCCTGGGTTAACTTTGGCCCAGTCTCTCTCCTGAAATCCTGGTGCAGTGAAATCCATGAATACTTAGGCTTTTATTTGAGTGCAGGTAAAAATTTACCCATTAAATTAAGCCGTGATTTAGGTCTCTCACCACTGATTTGGACACTGTGCATAGGTTTCTTTCTGGCTATGGCTTTATGACAGCAATGCTTATAGTAACTGTGATTAATACTGTCTAAAAAGGAAATCATTCCATCTTCAGCTCCACAGTGTGCAGCTTTGTAATCAAATTAGATTAACAAATTCCATTATTCTATGTAAAGAGGGAAATATTTTGGCTTCTAAAAGTATCTGGCAATAAATCATGCTTGTGAAGGCTGGAAGTTGCCTCCAGTAAGTTGAATCATATCCATATGTGTGTACTATGACCCTAAATTAATATCAATATTTTTGTGGTCAGGCATTGAACATGTATGTGGAATAATGAGATTACTGCCTTAAACATCCAGATCTCTGAAATTATTAGTAAAAAAGGTCGTGTTTTTCCTGTGACTAAGACATAGGACAACTTGCAGAACCTCATCTGGCCATAGAACCTTTAATTTCCATCATTCACCTGTTACTTTGTCTCCATCCTGAAGTAAAACATAATCATGAAAGCAGTAGTAGCTGAGCTGTTGGACACAAATACCTGATGATACACAGCCTGGACAGGGTACGATGTACTGCTTTTTCTTTGGCTTCAGGAAGTAAAAACCCAGCACCTGAAAGTTAAGGTGCTTCTGAAATCTTTCCAGATGAAAAGAACATGAAGATTGGAAGGAATGTGCTCTACTTTTTTGAGGGCTGTGATAGTTTCCTAACCTTTTAAATAATAATTATTATTTTTAATTTAAAAGTTATTTTTTTTATAAAGAGGCCTTGTCTATAAAGGTGGAATTCTGGCATACATGTGACATTCAGTCACACGTGAGCACAGGGATGCAAGGGCATAAATGACCTTTGGGTTTTGATTCTGTGGATTTGTCTGGGTGTGAGGGGTTCCAGGTGTACAAACTCTGTCTGACTTTGGCACAGCTGACAAAGGTGTCCTCGCACAGAAGGGATGGGTGCCTGGGGCTGCCTGCCCTGGAGGTGGATGACCACGGACAGTAAGCTGAGAATGACGGCACAGGGCGTACAAAAAGCTTGTACTTGGCATTAAATACTTTCCCAGCCACATTATGTGCGAGTTTGGAGCAGAAACTAGTTCTGGGAGGAACTAGAGACCGTGTTTGCAGCGGGTTCCTCTGCCCTGAAGCACAGGGGCCTGTTGGACTGAGGTGTGGAAACGTGAGCAACAGAAGGGCAAGCGTGAACCCTGCTGCCAGCTGGGGGAATAGCTGGCCCGGAGCACCGCCGAGGCTGCATCTCCCGGGGCCCGAGGCTGCATCTCCCGGGGCCCGAGGCTGCATTCCCGGGGACCGAAGGCAGCAGTCTACCGGGGCCGAAGGCTCGCAATTTCCCCGGGCCGAAGCTGCATTTCCCGGGCCCGAGGCTGCCCTCGCAGAGGTGCCAGCCAGGAGGAGTCTGTCTCCGGGGATGCAGCCCCGCGTTCCCACCTGCCGTGCACAGCAAAGGCCGGCAGTGCCGGGAGGAAATGTGCTCTGAGGACTTCGCTTCATGGACACTTTCGAATTTAGCTGATTTGGGATTTTAAGGTTAAGATCAGGAATCTCCAGAGCTAAAGTTTGCAGAAGTAAATGCAGTAACTCAATTCAGGGCCTCGCTTAATAGCTCAACATCATCCAGTGCATCAGTCACCACTGATACTCACAGTGGGCTGTACATTTCTTAGCAATAAAAAAGTTCTTACTAAAGGGCTCACCCAGAGTAGGGATAATGGCTGCGACACACAAATAGCCAAAAAAGTGGAAGAGATGAGCACAATAGTTCTGGGAGGTCGGCTTAGGATGGTGTACCTGCATTGTTCTCTTGTTTTCAGTTAATACCTTGCCTGCTCTTTATTCTGTGAATAAATTAAGTTAATGTAGTTACGGGTCAGAAGGAAAATCTCTCCTCCAAGTTGGACTAACTGTAAAAGTAAGTTGGAAAATAAACTTTAAATTGTTTCCATGACTTGGCTTTTTAACACTGATGAGACAGTATATAAATGAGATGGCAGACAGAATTATTTGGGAGAATGACTTTCCTCGTACTTTGGCAGTCGGTTATTACACTAACCAAGACAAATGGGGTCTGTTTTGGAAAGATTATTAGGAATGTGCTTGTTATGTGAATACCCAGAGCAGTTATATATTAGGCTTATTAACTTATATTAGGTTTATTAACTTAGTGAATTACTCTTTGCAGGAGTGGTCTATAAATAATATATCTCTTTTTTTTTTTATTAGATGATGGACTATCTGCTTCAAGTTGTGAATATGAAAGAGAGCACTCCAAGCTGAAAGAAGGTCTCTAAATCACGAAGAAATTGAATATTTGCTGTAAGAGACTATATTTCACAAGCACTTGATTGTATCAGATAATCAACAAGGTCTCTTTTCTGTACACAAGAATTCCTTTGTGTAAAATACCTAAATACACATATTCTTGTATGTTTCAGCAATGACTAAACTCTCTCTACTTCATTTTCAAGGTTGTATTTTCGCACTTGAATGGCTTTGATATATATATACACACACACACACATATGATTGTCACGGAAGGGTCTTCCAATTAACTACATGACTTACCTATCTAATCAGTTCATATCTTAGTTCAAAATCACATGCCATTTCAACATTCGCAATAAATAGTACTGATAGAAAGGCTGAGTTCAAGCTTTTATTTGAGTTAATCAATGGAAGGGGCAGTGTCACAGCTAGTAACAAAGGCACGAGAGAA